CGTCTTTGAATTTTTTCTTTGCACTTTCTATTCGATTCATTTTCATCTGAAAATGAATCGAATAGAAAGTGCAAAGAAAAAATTCAAAGACGACAAGCCGCTCTTAGCAACAAACGATATATGTTCATCCCTATTTTTATTGGCTGGAGGCTTATAAGCGAATTCGGAATAACCCTCATTGGAGTACCATATGAGTCTATATCTGGGCGTGCAATCGACTTCATAAACTAAGCGTTAATACACATATTCACATCTTGAACTTTTTCGATCTAAATGAAAACTAGCTAGTAGAAATATTAGATGGAGATTTAGTTCTATTTCCTAAAAATCATATGAATATCCATAAATCTGTCGAATCTTATCGAATTCTAATAGTAATTATGATCGACGGATAGCACCCAGATCGATATCGGCAAAGTTCTCGTACTCGTAAACACGGACAGATGTTTGTCGTTCCGGTGATGCTGTAACAATAAAAGTACTGCTAAGTGCAATTGATACAATGAGTGAACAAAGAATTTCATTATGATCATCTGAATTTTCATAGAGTTGAAGAAAAGAAATAATGGGTAACTTGAAATCGCGATAAAATAATGCATTCTCTTGAGATAATTTTAAAATAAGTTTTAATGTTTCTTGACTAATATCGTTTAGAGCAGATGGATCGATCTGGAGTGGCCATGTATATATATCAAGTAGAGTTGCCTGACAGTTCAATTCAGCATAAGATGAATAATTATTTAAAATTCTTTGAAATTCTTCTAATGTCGAAATCGATCCATTTCTTTTCGCTTTATCATGTGCTTCCTGTAAAAATAGTGGTATATTTGCCAGTTCTGGAAAAACTTGAGGAGGAAATAAAGCGATATCGATTTGTAAAGATCTAAGACCACGCTCAATAGGTCCATTCTTAATCAAAGCATATATTTTATTTACATCTTGTGGAATTTGTCTATGGATACTTGTAAGTGTACGAATATTTGTTTCTGACCATAAGCCGGGCATGAAATAACGTCGTTTTGATGGGTTCTCAATAAAGAGATCTTCTTTGAATGCATCCAACCAAATCTGCCCGTCAATCACGTCAATTGACCATTCGAATAGATAAATATTAGCAGAATCATGAGGTCGACGATCTTTATTCAATATCCATCTTTGGATAACATTGATGGTTCTCTTATCAACGTTCTTCTTATCTTCAGTTTCAAGTGCACAAGTTCCATCAGAAAATCATTGCATCATACGAGAAAAATGCCTAAGTCCAATTAAATCACGTGCTTCGTAGTCAACAGCAGACCAAAACTCTTTGATGCATGCGTCAGATCGATCCAAATCAAAGAACAAATTTAAATGTTTCTCGCATCCGACGACAATATTTGTGGTCGGCAATAAATCTAATTACTTCCTGTTGTTTTTCTACACAGGTCGATGTTAATTCACGTCTCATATAATGAGCACAAAGATATTCTTGAAAACTACGATGAATAAAATAGTAGACATTCTCAGCAAGTATAGGAGAATGATCTTCTGATTTCTGTTTGAGCAGACCGCTTTGAAGTGCATCCTCAAATAATTGGCCTGCTATATCCGAAATTTGTTCCCCGCTAATAGCAAATTTGTTTGATTATGCAGCTATGAAAGCTAAATACTCTAAAAGTGTAAATGCTTCTGCCCTTGGATGTTCAAAGACACTTTTACTTGCTAAAGCAGATGTGGGTGTGGGTGTGGGTGTTAATGAAACGATATTTCAACCCCACACCCACACCTACATCCACACACCCACCCACCCACCCACACATCCACCAACACCCACATCCACACCCAGTTCAATATTAATGCATTACTCGATCACTATTTGAGTTTCTTTGATAGGAACAATCAAAATTTATTTATACAATTTTGTAATCAGATTGATGTTTCGTATATGATGCACTGTACCCTAGAGCATTAGCATTCATTGTACGAACTGTTTTACAGTAACGAGAGTAACCAAAAAGGTGAGAAAAGAACCATGAAGTTGTATGTTGTTCTTTCTCTTTTCATAAATCAATAAAAAATAAATTAAATCGTTACATTAATCTTTTATATTCAATGAGATTTCGTTTCTCAACAAAACGATAGATTCGTAACGAATTAGAAATGCTGATCCCGTATTTAAAACTATAACGCGTAGAAATTTAACACATAAATCAAACCTTCTCAAGTAGATGGAGCAGTTTTTTGTAATTTATTAAGATCGATAAACATAGGTTGGATATCAGAGATGAATGTAGGATCGCATCAAGAACAAACAAGATTCTTATTTTCATGTTGTATACTTAAAAAATAAATGTCAAATAGTCAATCATCTTCTAGTCTATGTAGTTCACACTGCTTTCAGATAATATGAATATATAAGTCATTAGAAGATAATACATAAAGAATTTGATCTAACTAATCTTGCTTGAGGTGTAAGCGTATTTCTTTTATGTAACTACTTCAAGTTTTAGTAATTGTTTTTCGCTACGTATGGAAATAACTCATATAAAATGAATTGATGTAATTATATCAGATGAGAACTATAGTTTTTCTAGTTGATTTCTTTCAAAAAAATAATATTAATGGATCAGTTGTTGGTTTACATGTGTTAACTATTAAATCTAAATATTAATCAATGCAGCATACTTTGGTTTTTTTAAAATTAAACTTGTAACTATTCCTGTCATTTCCAGATTCTCATTTACTCTTGTTTGAATTTTCCACATTTCTCAATGAATTTTAATAAATAGATCATCCTCGAACTTTTAGTTCGAGTAGATCCACTTCATTTGATTCACTGTGAAGTAGCTAAATTCACATGATAATTCTATCTAGTGCTGATCTCTGTTCAATATATAGAAATGCATGCTGATTTTTTAACTAACTGATATAGTATTGGCAGTAGCTTCTACTTTAAAATCAATGCCTACGTATCACGCACAATTCAGTTTGAGACAAAATTAAACATAGTTATATAAATTTTTCAATAAACAGTATGTTAGTTACAATTTTAATTCTCCTTGATTAGGTAATTCTGAGATAATATTATCGATTTAAAACTAATGATTCTTAGTGTCTATGTAGCTTGTTTTTTTGAATTAGATGAAAAGTTAAATGAAATTTTTCTTTTGTTATGAAAATAGAAATATTGAACAATTGATGAAAGTGTTTGAAAAAGTTTTGTTTTTCAAATATTTTTCCTAACGTGCAAGGGATCGATACGGAGCAATGTTTAAGACAAATAATGTATTTTACCACACATATATCTTTTAATTACGATATTAGAGTATAATGAATAATTATTAGCAGTAACGTCATTAAAAGCTAAATTTGTGGGCTAAATATGATAAATAATTGTACATGATAAATAATTATTCTTGGTAAATTTTGGGTCGGATCTTTTGATAAGAAAGTAAAAGAAAAAATCCCAAAGAAAATATTAAAACTTGGTATCTGTAATGTTTAGTGTGCCTTTATTTTATAAACGCTTAATCTTAATAAACTAACTCATCTTGTATATAAAACTTTATTTTGGTTATAAATTTTTTTTAAGATAATTTTTTTCAATTATTTTGCGCATGCCAAAGCCAATTCCAGTTTCAGGTCAACTGTGATTAACTTGCATTTAGGGTGAATGAAATCTAAGAAGCTAAAAGGTTCGTCAGTATACTCAATTGAAATCTATTATAGTTTATTTTAACGAGCTCCAAGCTAAAAATAAAGAAAAGGATTTATCAGTATATATTTATTGAATAGTATTATTGTTATCAATGCTTCTTTGTCTGCAAAATTCACATAGTTCATAGATGATATGTAAAGTATCAATTTAATCTGTTCTTAACTTGTGTTGAACTATGTTCCAAGCAAAACGGATGAACGATTTTATTGCTTATCTATTCTCTTTTGTATAATAATCCTTATCTTTTCTGACAATTTTAAAGTGTAAAAACTGTAAAATATTCATTGGTTTGTTCATAAAAATACTTTTGAAATGCATGTTTCAATGTTGAAAAAAAATGTACATATTGATGCTGAGATTACAATTTGTATTAATCTGAATAAGTACTCTGTCTAATTTAAAAAAAACAATTTGTGCTATTTTATTGCTAAAAATGAAAGTTAACTCGATATTTATGATCATAATTCTGGTAAAGCCTTTGTATATGTACAGGGTGTTACAAAAGTATTGCACCCTCATCAACAATTTAGAGTATAAATGAAATCACAAAGTATTTTGTAGCAAAGTAACGTTCATTAAAAACTGAATTTTTAAGTTTATTTAGAGCAACTATTACCTATGAAATAATTACAATGTTTTGAATTACATGCTAAAATGCACTGGTATTTGCCAATTTTCATTCTTCGTATAGATAGTTCACAAAAAATAATAGCAGATTCGTGATCTCTATCAAAAACTAAATCTATAGACATACTATTCATATATTTTTGACAAAAAAGATTTTTTCAAAAAATCCTAGAAGGTATCCCATGACAGTTCTTTTATAGACCTGATACTATAAAATCTATGACAGTTTTTACCCAAATAAGCTCATATATTGCAGTTTTTTTCTTACATTTGCCAACAAAAATAACTTTCACGTTCTGATCTCCATCAAGAACTATGTTCATTGATGCATAAATCGATATATTTCTGTTCAAAAAATTCTTGAAATTTGTTGTCTGGAGTACCTTTCAGAATCTTTTTTCAAAAAAAATTTTTCCGTCGAAAATAGATGAATGGTATGTCTATACGTTCAGTTTTTGTTGAAGATCACGAATCTGCTTTTATTTTTTTGTAATAATATTTACATGAAGAGTGAAAATCGTAAAGTACGAATCGATTTTGTTATGTAATTCAAGATATTAATTTAGTACAAAATACTTTGGGTTCTCTTTTGTATTTTAAGTTGTAGAGAAGGCATAATGATTTTGTAGCATTCTGTATATTAGTCTTGCTATTTTAACACTAAAAGATGTAACATCAGTTATTTCTGTTGAATTGGATGTTTTTTTGACAGAATGACACTAGTGAACTACTCAAGGCAAGTCTGATTTTCATTTGTCATATCCTATATTTTGTTCGATACCTAGGGCATTAATATATTAATATATAAAGCACGTAAACATATTTGTTCTTGAAAATATAATGTCTTCAACATTGTTTTCATTGATAAGCAGCCAGTTCAGTATCTATGCTGGTCTTTCAATATGTACTTTTGGTATGATTGGAAATGTAATCAATATTTGTATTTTATTTCCAACTCGATTCAATTCATCTTCATTTCTTTTGCTTGTCTCATCGGTTTTTAATATAATTACATTATCAGAAGGTCTTCTCCCCAAAATCTTATCCTTTAGTTTTAATATAGATGCCACATCAACCAGTCTTATTTGGTGTAAATGTCGTTATTATATTTCCTATTCTGCCGCCACAGTCTCTTTTACATGCCTATGTTTTGCTTCTATCGATAGATTTTTTGTGTCATGTCGAGGAGTGACATGGCGAAATAGAAGTAAATTGAGCACAGCAAAAATCGCTATTACGATAGCTGTTCTCGTAATTGCCATAGGTCATCTACCACTTCTACTGTTCTATACGATAATTGAAGTGCATACTAGCACAGGTAACATTATTCAGACATGTTCCATTATTAATTCTGGTCTGGTTATCTATGTAAGTTACATATATCGACCTATTATCCTCAGTGCATTACCTGGTACAATATTGGCTATATTCGGTTGGCTAACATATCGTAATGTTACTAAATTAAATAGCAACCAACTACGTTCTTCATTTCAACGAGGTTTAACTTCAATGATACTCTTACAAACTATTGTAGTCATGATTCCAATAATACCATTTGCAATAATAAATATCTATCAAGTTGTAACATCATCAATAGTTAAATCCAACTATCGTTTATCGCAAGAACAATTAGTCTATACTATAGCAAATATTATTTTATACGTTAGTTATGCATCAAACT